ATTTCAGAATTCAGATCTGAAGTGATAAGAGTCTCAGTTAATGTGATGGCAGTGGAAATGAAGAAGAACGTGTGTGTCTGAGAGATAACTTGACAGAAGTTTTGACCATGGAGAAAGTTGCTGTCCTGGTCATTCCTTACAGAACACATGGTAGCCCTAGTGTTCTGCCGAGGAGTGTTAATTCCAGGTGAGCATCATCGTAAACCACTCGGAAGAGCTGAGTATACCATGTTCAGAGGTGCTGAGCTCCCACTTTGTGTATCTAAGTGGGGGTGTGTATAGTGTATCCTCCCAGGTGACAGTGTGGCCAGCTGAGATGCAGAGGTGGATGTTTGGCAAGAGGACTAGTATCTGTTCACAGTCTGTTTCCTGGTGATGAAGGGTGAGCTGTAACCTTAGAGAGAATTGGTGGGAGGTAAAATGGGAACAGCTAATATTTGAAGGGAAGGGATGCTGAGAAAAGAGTGAGGATTTCTGAGCCAGTGTATTTCTTTTTGTTCAAAGAATAAAATTCATCCTCTCCGCCACTATGGTTTCTGGCTTTTGCCTGTTTTCTGTCCTCATTTTCTTTCATTCTCTGCCTTGCTCATCACGTTCCCAGTTTAGAATGCCCCCTCTGCCCTCAACCTAGATATTCCCATGGCTGGCTCCATTATACAGCGATTGGATGTCACCTTTTTGGAGAGCTTTTCCTGACCATCCTCATTAATGTTGGGCCTTCTCCCCACCCCTGCCTCCCCCAAAACCTAGGTTCTGTTCCAAACCACTTATCCCAATCAGGGATGACCCTAGTCAGTTCTTGGTCTGCTTGTGCAAATCTGCCCTCCCTTCTCCAGTAGAACGAAAGCTCTTTGAGAGCCTGGGATCCTGTGTGTCTTGTTCATTGCTGTATTGCCAGCATCCAGAAGAGTACCTGGCACATATTTAGCATAAATATTAGTTGAAAGGACTCTAGGTAAAGATTTGATGAGGGGGAGCAGAGGTAGGCAATGGGGAAAGAAATGGGTCTATAGACCCCAGGCAACACCTGATGACTAACCTGTGCTGGACGGTAGAGATGAGACGGGATAAATTCAAGAGACGTTCAGGAGGTAACGCTGACAAAATTTGGTTATGGACTGGTACAGGAGGTATCAGGCAACTTTCTTGTGAAAAATCTTGCTGTGAGAGGTTTGTGAACTCCTAGCATTTTTATTTGATCTCTTCGTTCACTGGAAACTTAAGGGCAAAGCAATTCTTAGCCCTCCGTTAAGAGCTTGCCTTGGTTCTACTCCATCCTAGAGGAGGTGTCTCAAACTCTAGGCATGAAGAAGTCTCTGTTTCTACTCAGAACAGTTGTATCCGCCCATTCACCACTCAGCAATATTTTTTGAGCATGTAATATGTTCTAGGTATTGTCCAAGGCACTGGTGCACAGGAATGACTAAAACAACCTCCTTGCATTTATGTTCTGGAGAGGGAAGACAGACAAGCATGTCTACAAATGCGACACACACAAAATACTTTTGGATGGTAATAATGGTGGAAGGAAAAACAGTGAGAGAGGATGGGAGGGGGTCAGCCAGGCTGCTCTGCATTAGCTGAGGTCTGAATAACAAGGAGGAGCCACGAGAAGACCTGCAAGGGGAAGGTGTTCTGGCATTGCCCTCGGAACCTACTTCTGCTAGAGGAGTCACTGAAGGGGCACTTTGCTTTCATGTCTTAAAGAATGAAATTAAAGAGGTTGGTGGGATGGAAACTCAACTTCAAATACTTATCAAGTTTATTTATTTATTTCATTTCATTTCTTTTATTTAGTTAGTTTTTGAGACAGCGTCTTGCTCTGTTGCCCAGCTGGAGTGCAGTGGCATGGTCTTGGCTCACTGCAACCTCTACCTTCCAGGTTCAAGCAGTTCTCCTGCCTCAGCCTCCTGAGTAGCTGGGATTATAGGAGTGCAACACCATGCCCAGCCCAGCTAATTTTTGTATTTTTAGTTGAGATGGGGTTTCACCATGTTGGCCAGGCTGGTCTCAAACTCCTGACCTCAAATGATCCGCCTGCTTTGGCCTCCCAAAGTGCTGGGATTAGAGGTGTGAGCCACCGCACCTGGCCCATTTTATTTATTTTTTTGAGATAGAGTTTCGCTCCCGTTGCCCA